AGTTTGCTCCACGGCGCAGCATCCAGGGGCTGGACGTCTCCTCTGGCGGCACCGCTCCCCTTGTGCGAGCCCTTTCCTGGGGGTCTGTGTCCCCCCGGCATCCGTGCCCCGCAGCAGAGAGGCCGTGGCTGCGCCCAGCACAGGCGCTCAGAGCAGCACACGTGGCCCGGACGAGTTTCCTGAACAACGGCAGCACTGTCATATTAGCTCTCCTTCAGACATAGCACCTGAAACAGCTGCAAAATGTGTTTGCCTTTTCCACAACCACATTGGATGACTTGCTGATACCCTGCTCCTCCTCCTCCTCTGTTGTTTCCAACTAAGGTCCTTCCAGGTTGTGGCCTTTCTTTCTCTCTCTCTCCCTTTTTTTTTTTTTTTTGTCCTGACCTTCCTTTATACTGGCAATGCCTCCCAAGTTTATTTTGGAAGTAATTTCATCATCACATTTATCATCCCAAGGTCATTAATGAGTTATTAAGTATGATTAGTCCCAAGAGGTCACTTGAGCAACTTCACTAGGAACTTTTCTGCCACCTCTTCCAGTACAAGTCATGGTGGTGATCCTTTCTCCTGGTGTCTATCTCACAGCTCTCACATGGCGCCGCACAGATCGCTTTGCAGAAGACCAGGGCGGTGACAGCCATTGCATGACTAGGACTGGGGGATGCTGAGAGATCAGAGAGACTGCGAGGGCAGGAAATAACATAGTAATTGAGAGGCTTTCTAAACCAAAACTGTGGGCTGGTCACTGTTATGGAAACAGTTCGACCCTAGGTTTCTGAGGAGCAGAGTCACATGCACATATAAAGGCAAAATTAATTATTTATTTAAATGACGGTACAGCATAGTAGCAGCTCGAGCTAGGTGCCTCCATAGAGGGACCCTGAACAGAGACATTCTGGGGTAATTATACCCTTTACAGTTTTATTTTCCCACCTGCCAGTGAAGGTCTCCTCCAATCTTTTTTACTGAGACAGTGGTCTCTCTCCTTCTAATTGGGGTCTCTCTTCTTCTGACGGGTGTCTATCTCCCTCTGACAGGTCCTGGCCTACATCCCAGGCTGATTGCCATGACCTTGTTTCTCACAGTCCCTTATCTTCTCAAAGGTCAACCACAACCCAGGTGCATCCCATCTTGTCTCCCGCAGTTTTCTTTGTAGCCTCATTAGCTAGTTTTGTATCTTTGTTAGCTACTTTTAACTGGATTTGCGGTTACATCATCAGCAATGTCACATCCTTCGCAATGTTTCTGGAGTTCACTGACAGTTCAGCCTTGAGGCCTGCAGGCTTCATCTACTTTAGGCACTGATGCTAAGCAAGAGTCAGACTTATGCTAAGCTGAAGCTAAATCGGCTTCAGAAATTTCCTTCTCCAACAGTCCTGAAGTTAAATCAGTTACGATTTCCTTCTCTATCAGTCACATTGATTCAGATTCTTACAGCTGAAGCACTGCTCTGCAATAGCAGCTATAAAGTATTCAAATTTGGTATTGCTATTGGATAAAAGCCAATAAAATCCACCATGGTTTTGCTCAATCACTAAAAACAACCTAAAAGGGGCAACAAAGAAAATTAAATCCCTACAACGGTGTGGAGAGTACGAAAATGCACCATACTGAAAACAGCACCAGTGCATACAGCCCGGCCTCGAGAAAGGGCAAGCATCAGCTGACACTGCTCATCAGCAAAGCAAGAGAAGTTAATAGAAACAAGATAGCATCTTTCAAAAAGCTGAGAAATGAAGAAAATAAGATCATAAGCCCTGGCAGATTAAATGAAAAAGTATAAGGGAAACCAAAAAGCTGAAACAGCTAGCTGAGAGAATCGAAACTCAAGCTCATTTCTTCTTCAGTCACATCAGGAGCCAAAATCCCCTGGAGAGTCCGTGGGGCCAGCGGATGCTCAGGCTACACTGGGAGCGTTCAGAGGACACTGAACACTCCGCGCGGAGAGGCGGAGTCATGTTTTGGCAGTGGTGGAAGCAGCTGAAGGGGGTGTTCCCACCCTGGAGCCCTTTTTGGGGGTGATGGAGGGGTTGGCACAGCCAAAGTTACAGTGGAAAAGATTCAAGGTAGCAGAGGGAGTGCTAATACACCCCAAGGATTAGCTGATTCGCACCTAGAAATTGAGAGAGAACACAAGAACAAAATAGCTAATTTTGTTACTGGTCACGTGGCTTCTCACTTCGAGCTCTCTCCTTGTGAAGACCGGAGGGCGCGAGCATGATGCCAAACTTTAAAAACGTTCTGGAGGGATGTGGGGAGCACGCACCATGAGCCAGACATCCATACCAGGCAACGGAGTACAGCGTATAATGCAGACAAACTCATTGAACATCTGGATACATAGGACCTACGTGGGAAAAGTATGAATAGCTTCTCTGGCGGAAAGTCCAGCCTCACATACATCCTTGAGTCTCCTGAAGGGGACAGCAGATGTGGAGAAGGTTGCCCAAGTTGATATAGCCCACCTGAGTGCTTCAGACAAAGTCCCCCATCAGAGGGCTTTGAGGAAACCAGGCAGCCGTGGGACAAGCAGGACGGCCCAGCCCTGGGCTGCTCAGTAGCTGAAGACAGGACACGTAAGGCAACTGCAGATGTCAGCTCTCGCCGTGCAGGGGGTCACCAATGCTGTCCAGCACGGCTCCGGGCTCTTCAGCACCTTCCCGAGCTCCTGGAAGAGGGCAGAGTGGTGGGAGAGCAAGTCATGAGATGCAGGTGAGGAAAAGTAGCTCCAGGGTCACGGGAGACACTACAGAGGGACGGAGGAGCGAGGCACAGGGGAGTGCGTCAGGGGCCACACAGCAGACGATGCAGCAGGAGGTGAGGGGAAGGCAGAGAGCTGCGGCACCCAGTGCAGAGCCCACCTGAGCCCAGAAGAGGGGTGACTTGGGGAGGAGACAACCGACAGCCGTGGAGCCATGAGCTGGACGGGGGAGGAAGAGACTGCCACGAGCCAGATCTGACACAAGCCAGGCTGTCCAGCAAAGCTTGTGAGGGCAGGTCAAAACAAATGAAAGGAGCTGGATCATCATGGGATGCACGGGAGGTGGTCCAGCTCCTTGCACTTTGCCTGGGAATGCTGCAAGTGGAGAAGGTTCTCATGGCTCTGAGGGAGCCTGAAGATGCCCTTGGAAGAGACATCCCTTGAGGGTTTCTGAACAAACTACTTCAGGCTCAGGAAATCCTCTGGGACGCAAATAGCTGGAGGCTGGAGGACTAGCTCTTTGGAAGACCCATATGCTTGCGCTGCTCTTGTCTCCCTCTTCTGACCTGTTAATATTCCGTGAGAATTCAGAGTAGTTAATTTAGTAGTTAATTTATTTTAAAAACTTATAAGAGAGTCTTGTTGAAAGCTTTTGGAAAAATCCATATATACCCTACTGACTGGATCAATCTCACCTGTATGCTTGTTTACGCTTTCAAAGAACTAGTGGATTTATGAGGCAAAAACCATGCTTTACAAAAGCCAGGTTGACCCTTCCCAAATATATCATAATTAACCATGTCTGCTACTGTTCTTTATTATAGCTTCTACCGATTTGTTTGGCACAGAAGTTAGACATACTGGTCTGTATCACTGGCCATGCTTGGAGCTTCTTTTGAAGACTATTTTTTTATTTGTGACCTTCTATTCTCCTTCACAGCAGCTAAGTTAAATGACTGGCTACAGATCACACTGAGCAGTTCAAGTGTCCCATATCTGAGTTCCTCCAGAAGTGTTGGATGGATGCCTTTGCTCTGGTGGCATGTCACAGAGGAATCAGTCTATTTTCTCTACATCCTCTTCTGCTGACAGTCTGAGAAGTTTCCTCAGATGTATTAACTATATAAAAAATCCTTATGCCCAACACCACCAAAGTGAGTTAAGATCTTTCCTTCAGATAACTTTTCTGGTATAATTTGCCTAGTTTTTGCCATCTAAGTAATTTGAGGAGAAAGACCAATATGGCAAGGTCGCCTTGGGGTGTCTCCCAGTTCTTCTAAAGCTGAGAACATTCATTTCATCACTCCTGAATTAAAAATATATATATATATATATGATGATCTGTCAGTCTGAAACAAGTATCTGAGCAGCTTTCTCTTGGGGTTTTTCTACTTCCGCAGAGGAGAGAGTCAGTAAATGGTTACTAGTTCTGAAATGTGTGTGTGGTTCTGAACAATCATCCCATGATGACTCTTGGGCAAATAGATATGTTTTAGTTAAGTCAGCATGTGAGAATCACAAGCTATTGCAGGCCGAGGAATTTCTAGAGGTCCATGGGAACGTTCCTGTATTTCCATAAGGTCTGTGCAGCTGAGGCAGAAGGTTTAGTCATTTGTATGCATGTATGTATAGATACGTACATATACACATATATTTACATAGATATGTACGTGTACATGTATATGCATATATATGTGCTTTCTGCTTTTCTCCTTATCTTTCTGCACCAGTAGAGCACTGAAAGTGAGTCCTTTCTAAAGCTGGATAAAAAACAAAACCTAAAAAGATGAACTTAAGCAACCACATTCCAACCACAGAAACCTACATACGAAACAGAAACCTTATCAAGGTCATAGTGAGCTTCTCCCCTGCTCCCCGTTGACTTCAGATCTGGGTCACAGCATGAACCAACATAAGGCTGGAGATCTCAGTATTGCCATTTAGTCTGTGTCTGGCTTGTGAGGTCAGAATCTTGAGTGAACCCTGTAGTTTGATTGGATGGTGGTATGATCCATGAGTTGGGGCTTTCCAAAGAGACAAACAACTTGGCAGAGCCGAGGGTTTCTGCAAAGCTGAATCAAGCCCAGAACTAATGAGAACCTTGTTTAAATACCTGTCTGTGACATGCAGAAGGAAAAGCTGTGTTGTTACGGGAGTTCAGGTTTGGGAGACATATGCTGAAGGCCCCATGCAGCCGGTAGTAAAATGTCATTAGAAGATCTAAAAATAAAAGATAACATTTTCATCCAAAAGATCTGAAGTCTAACTTTTACTCTGGACTGTGCTATGATGGATAATGATCAGTTAGTCACTACCTGGAAATGAGCAGTCATCTTACGATTCGTGAACATATTGGGACTGCAATCAATCTGTACAAATGGGTGATAATCCTAGCCAATGACATGTATTCCTAGGGCTTCAAAAGGCTGAATTTCCTAGAACAGAGGAAACTCAAGTGAAATCATTGAAAAGGAAAGGACAGATTGAAAAATAAGAATGTAAATGCAAACCCTAAGCAGAATTTGTTAGATGACCAAGAAAAAGGGACAGCTTTGAAATTCCATTTGGAAAGGACTGGTGTCAGAAGTCTAGTTTGGGGACATTTACTGCGATACAGTTTTCGAGCACAGTTTCCCTGTTTTCATCACTGTGGAGATTTGGGTTGGTCTATGCTAAGTGGATCCCTGAGGTTAGCAAAACGTCTCCTGCCCAAGACACAGTGTCAAATCAAATTCATTTTCTTCCAGCTTTGCTCCATCATTTCCCTAATGAAATTTAAATGTCAAAAATAACACCTACAGATTTTTTTCTGACTATCATATCAGTCAGGTTCCCAAACAATAGCTGTACTAATAACATGTATTAACTTTCCATAATCAAGTTACAGAACTCAGGCTCAAAAGCTAAAAAGACATCTCAAAGGGTCTCATTCTGGAGTTCATTGACCATTGAATTTCTCCCAGTGACCTCTATATGGAGCCGAATAGCTTTTTTTGACTAAAGTACAGTCAATATTTGACAAAGCATTAAGTTCATTACGGTAGCTAGCCCAGATAGACCTTAGTAGACAGAGAATTGATTACCACTCTGACAGTAAATATGTGTGCTTTACTTGCACTTATCATGCAGCTTGCTGTGTCTTTATTAAAGCAATGAAAAAAACAGTGCCTGAAATCTTGTCAATCTTTTTCCAACTGTATTGGCTGGCCTAATAAAAGATAAATTCTCTGCCTACAAAATGTGTCGCCCTTAGTTTCTCCTTTAATTTGTGCAGCTCAGCTACCCTCCATTGAGTCTTGTCGGTATTTTCATAGAATCATAAATATTGATACTAGAAAAGGACCTTGATAAATTGACTAGTGAACTCAGCTGATCAAATGGAAGTATGCTAAATCTAATAAAGATTTTTAGTTGATTTTACATTCTTAGATGTGAATGTATTTCCAAATTGGGATTTGTACTTTTTGCAAAAAATTAAATAATTAGCTATATATATTTGTGCCCTGTTGCTGTCCACCCAGATCCTCTGCTGTAGTGATGTTGTCTGTATTCCCATATTGTTACTCCCTGATGTGTATTTGTGAATTTCTTGCATGCAGATTTTGTGCTTGTCACTAGTTAAAATATCAAGTAGAACTAGTTTCCCGGCTCCTCTGAGACTTCACATGAGGGGAGCTTCGTGCTCTTTGGTGGTGAGATAGTGGTAAATTATCTCTGAAAACAGTTCATCAGCCAGCTTTGCACCTCCTTTATAGTGTTTATATCTAAGCCTCATTTTCTCCCTAGAAAAGTATTTGGGCATTGTAATCAAATCACCACTCAACCTCTGTTCTGACAAGATTGTAAGACTTAAAAGATCAAAGTGAGGCATTTTCTCCAAACGTCAAATAATTTCCATGTTTCTTTTTTGAATCCTCTCAGGTGTCTTAATAACTTTTTTAAATGCAGAATTCTGGATGCCATTTTCCAGCACTGGTCTCACCTCCGCCAAATGCAGTAATACAGTCTCACTACCTCTAGCTACTACTGTTCTGTTCCCGCAGCGCCTGCACCACACTCTTGCAACCCATATTCGCGTGGAGTTACTTGCTCATCTGTGGTCCCCAGCCTGTGATTTTAGCCATAAATCATCCACATATTTTCAACACCCATGTTTTTATATTGACTTTTAGACCACTGATTAAAATGTTGAATGCTATCAATACCAGTAGCAATCCTTTAGGAACCTTTCTAGGAACACATTCAGGCAAAAAATAATTTCCTATTGATGAACACTTTTTAAATTCATCAGCCTTTTAGAGCCAGCTAATGGTTCTTTATTAGCACTGTACACTAAGTTTGTAATTCCAAGTGTCCCATGGTGCTAAGTCAATTACCTTACCAAACTGGAGTGTGTTACATCCTCACACTTACCTTTTCAACACTGTCTTCAAAAAGAGAAGCCAGGATTGTTTGAAAAGACTGCTCTGCATCAAGTGAGCTTCTGCTCTGCATCAGCTAAATTTTCAGAGGAAAGCATACATTATTGTTCCTGCAAAACAAAACGTTAAGCTGTTGATTACAAAACTGTAAATGGATTTACCAAAAGAGGAAAACAAAGCAATAAAATACAATCATTGAGTGTCTTGGACACCAAAGTTCTTTCCTAGTCCCAACTCAGACTATCTGAGGCATCATGTAGTCACAGGAAATGACTCAGAAGTGGCTGGATGCTACTTCTAAACACAAATTTAGTACGTTAGAGGGAAAAGGGTAGGCTGAGATTTTGGCTCGCACCCTCTCCGAGGCTGTTCAGAGCAGTGACTTGCTGAGCAACCTCTTCCCCCTCTGCCCAGGGAGAATGCCCCCCCCCCCACTCTTCTGCACTTTTATCCTTAAACCAGTTCACAGTAATTCAATGCAAAGCAGCATGTGGGACTCTTCCCCTTCCCAGATGCACCTCTCCTTTTGCAGACCTAATTTTTTATTTAACCATTACATTTCTTCTGGCTTAAAAGGCTTTCCCGCTGGCCACAATGTTTTCAAGTCTGCTGCAATAAATCAAAAATGATATTAATTGCACAGCTCCATTACTTGAACAGCTCCCAGCTTTTCTTGGAAACTGCAACTTATTAATAACAGAGATAACAGCCTGGGCATTTATGTTGCTTTTTCTGAGCACCCTTCTTTCCTCACCTTTTGACAAGTGTTAGCTATTTGCATCATCACAATAAGAGATGCCGTGAGCAGGCGAGAGGGCTGTTGCAGGGTTCATGGGTGAAAGCAATCAGGCTCACAGATGCTGATGCAGCTCACAGCACCCGTCTGCTCGCAAGGCGGTCGTTCTCGAGGAAGCTCAGTGTGTGGATAAGAGTGCGGTTACCCACCGCGGATCCTGAGTAATGCCGTGTGCGCAGACACTGCCTCGCGCTCCCCTTAGGAACTGCAGCGTCAGCAAGTACGTCATCAGCTGTACGAAAAATAAGTTCATCATGCTGTTTCTTCTCTAGCACAGAACAGAAATATCAAACTCTTTCATTTTCACACCGTCATTTACACTATTATATTACCACCTCCGTACAGCAATAGGCAAATATACTACTGTTGACATTTCTTTGTTCCTAATATATTTTTAAATCATCTTTTCATTGTCCTTGACAGGACTTGACACTCACTTCTTCTTGATGTCTTTAGCTTCCCTTATCATTCTTCCGCTTACCGTAAATTCTAATTAACTGTGATTTCTGTTTCTTACTATCTCAATTCATTATATATCACTTTGTATCCTAAGGAAACAAGTTAGAGATATTGCAGTGGGAGATTATTCAAGTGGGTGATTCACAAGAAGCTGTGATACACCTTCAGTAAGAATACAGGGTGAGTTCTTAGCACGACTTTGTTTTTTGAGGAACAGCGCAAAGCAAATTATCCAGAAGGGTCAGAATCTCTCCTACTCTTCCCATAGGAATAATTGCCATCCAAAAGACTGTTTTCTGAGACTGTGGAGAAGGTAGCACATCAAAAATATATTCCTTAGATCTATTAATGCAAAATTTAAGTTCCACTGAAGAACAAGGTCCTACAAAGGGTGAAAACATTGAATTATTTTAGAAACCCTCCTATAACATGATGGGAAAAACAGAAGTCCTTCTCTAAGATGTAAATCCAAAATACCCGACAAATGGACTTTTAGCAACTTAAAAGAGAAACCTGGATTTTTTTGCTGTTGTTTTCTTTTATTGCAGGAAAAAAATATGATGCTTACACCAAAGAAGCGCATAGAAGATGCTATCACCTGGATGAATACCAAGGCACAGCTCTCAATCACTTCCCTGGAATCACAGAATCAGTTGAGTTGGAAGGGACATTTGGAGGTCTCTAGTCCAAACATCTGCTCAAAACTTTGAAAGTCCTTCTAGTAGATTGCTTTCTGATACTGTCAGACATCCCTAAATAGAAAGCAGCTGTATTATAGTTTCAAAATTGACACAGCCTGCAGCATATGAGGTACAAGCAGCTGATACCGGGGTGACAGATTTTATGCAAAGTCATTGAAAGAAAATCCAGCAAGAGTTTGGATCTTCTAATTAAGAACCACAGGAAAGCCTGCTGTCAGTGCTGGACTGTGTTTGGGCCAGCAGAATCAACATGCCTCATCCTGGCTGGAAATCATTTTGGGCAAAAGATGATTCAGAGAAAACGTATAAATATACTTTCCCGACTATGAAATTACAAGCAATGTTAGGAAAAACTAGCTCAGAAGGAGTAACGCTTGCATTTGGGTGGACCTCTGAAGGAAAGAGACTGACTTCTGGGCTCCCCAGATTCAAAACCCAGAGAGGAGGACGGCAGCATCCCAGTCGTGATTCAGCGATTGGAAGAGCCTGAGATCACCCGCAGTCTGTGGGAAGTGACCTGCTCCGCTGCACCTGCATGCGAGGTCAGCTCCCGGCCGGTGCAGCCAAGGGCACCCCATGCTCCCCGCGGTGGGCGTAGACAGTGGTGGGAGCACGCTGCAGACGCCGGCCGTGCCCCTCGCACTGGCAGGGCCATGCTGCCCCGTGGACCTGGTGCAGCCTGGTGGAGCAGGCACCTGCCTGTGCAGATGGCTCTGTGCCACAGAGACCAATTTCTGCAGATGCCTCGCTCTGCATCTCCACTGCGGAGGAGTCTCCCGCCTTGACTGGGGACAGGCGTTACTTGGTTTCGTGGAGAGAGCAACGAAAGCCAACAGCAGCTAGCGTTGCTAGCCATGTAGCGGCCATCTTATGTGTGATGCGACAGCAGCGTCTGTGGTCTCGAGCCCCGAGACGGCAAGACAGGTCCTCATGGAGTCACTGACCGGTCCCGTAAGTGAGCTACGAGGCTCTTTGTAGCATAGGAATGATCCTGTGAAGCAAGGACGTCAGTTCCTGAGGGGCTCAGCAGACTCCCCCTGCCACCAGGAATCAGATCAGAGTCCCCTTGTGCCATGGGATGAGATAGATCAGTTCTGAGAGCTTCCGAGGTGATGCATGCTTCTGTAGCCAAACATGTGGATGGGGACCACTGTGGTGCGTGATGACTGGAGACAGTTTTTGCCAAAACTCTCAGCCTTGGAAATTCCCAGAGGAAGGACTCTGGCCTGGCAGTAATTCTGCCCCACTGCAAAATGCAAAGGCCTCAGACACCACGGCCCTGGGGGGCACGGATGTTAGGGTCAGGATGTTGTATACTGCCTCAGGACATTGGGGATGCTAAAAGTTTACATAGGTTCAAGAAGTAAAAGGACAAATTCATGGATGAGACATCCCTAGAGGACTATTAAATACAGTGATACCACCTGGTGCTCAGCAGGCTCCTGGGCCTTTGAAAGACGTATCGCTGAACTTGTGTCACGCTGCACTTGTGCCACGTTCCCATAGGCAGTGATAGGCCTCTCTGCTGGAGATGTGATGCTGGGCAATGCACGTCTGACCTAGTACTGCTCTTCCAATGTTTTATGCCTTTCAGGTCGAAAGATGTAAGCCAGTTTGCCTTGTGAAGCAACCAGATCACTGACGCCAATGTCACTGTTCTAAATCTGAGTTTTCAGACACAGGAATTTAGACTTAGTTTAAAATGGGTCAGCAGCTCCCAGTTACTTGTGCAAACAGAAAATAAGGACTCAAATTTCACTTCCTTTTGATGTGTCTTGAAACCAGTTGTATCACTCCCCTGTTCAGTGACACTCACTTGTCTTCCATAGACAAATTCTCATGAGGCAGGTTCCTGAGAAGAGATTGGGGAAGCCGTGACTATGACGGGTACAACCCATTTCTCAGCAGTTACTGACAGTAAAGCCAAGTGACCATTTGATAGTCTGCCCCAGAGAAAACGCTGAGGTGGGGAGTAACTAGGAGAGAACGGAGCTGCATTTCCCTGTCACTTGTACTGACTATGGGTCTACAAGAAGACTGGGAATGAGAGAAAACTGAATATGGGTGCTAGGCAAAGATTCTCTTAGAAACAGAATTTAAGATGCCTCAAAACTTCTAGGATTTTATCATCAAAGGAAGCATTTCATCTATAAAATACCAAAATCATCCTTAACAATAGGTTGTGGTTCAGAAGAGAAGCCTAAGGAGTGCAGGCAGGAGTTTCTGTGAACATCTCTGATCACCATAATCTCTGGTGATTGGCTGGACAGCCAGCTCTGGAGCTCCAGGAAACCTGAAAAGCACTTTGTGGTACCAGCTGATTTCCTGATGG